CCTATGAGGTCACTGGCCAGTGGGCTCGGGCCAGTCACCAGCTCCAGGCCCCTGTGATTCATGGGCTGACAGGTGCTTTGAGGAGGTGACATGGTGCCACACGCACCCTCTCCATCCACACATGGACATTCCTAGAGAGCAACCAGGAGCTCAAGCCCGGAGGGGACTGTGGGTGGCTTCTTGCTGACATCAGGCATACGGCTCCTGAGAAGCTGCTGGGTGGCATGGAGGGTCACCTGCCAGGTCAGTCCATGTGGGACCCACTGGGGTTGGTTCCACGGACATCCAAGCACAGGGACATCTCAGGTATTCCTTCTAAGATGATGGGCAGAGGGCTAAGGCCTCCTGAGGGCACTTCTCATGCGGGACAGGGGTGTCCGAGGCCCTGGGGACTCAGCTCGGAGGTGGAAGGAAGGAGTGAGAAGCTCGGTTTACCTGACTACCAGCCCTGCCCTCACCTGGTGGTCGAGAGCAGAAGGGACCCCTGGCCCAAGGTGACTGAGACACATGTATATCTCTGCCTTCTGGTCTCAGGGCGTTCTTGAGGCTCCCAAATTTAGGGACAAAAAAGGACCCTTTGCTGGGGTGACCATGTGCAGGGCCTGAGCTGAGTGGCTGGGTGCAAAACCCGTCTGTGGCCTGAACAACCGTATGGAGCCCCTGTGTGGCCATGGTTTCCTCACCTGAACATGGCACGCAGAGCAGTGCCTCGCAGGGTGCTGGGGGGTCTTGCAGGTACAGAGAGTGGGGGCCTCACACAGCTCACAGACGCCCCCTTCCCCACCCACCTCTACTTCATCCTCCTCAGAGTGCAGCTGGAAGGCAGAGGTTGGTCAGCCCTGGACACCTGGAAACGTGCTGCCTGGGCCTGGCCAAGTGGGAATGACCCGGCCCTTTTGAGGGAACCATAGGGTCTGGGAGGCGGGGACTGTCAGCCCCTCTCTGCAGCCAGGGCAGCTGGGATGGGGAGGAGGCTTTCCCAAAGTCACATAGGCTGTCTGCATCCATCCCGAGGACGGCCAGCATCGGTCTCCCTCTCAGGGACCCAGGTTGCCCACGCACCAGGGCTCGGTCCCCGTGGGGCTGGGCCCCGAATCGGGGCAGTAACGGTGCCCACAGCCCCAGAGCCTTCCTGGGGCAGTGGTAGCCGGGGCTCTGTGGCTGGTCACGAGGTCTCCATCCCATAGTGCTGGGCCCAGGTGGTAGATGGGTCCCTCTATCCCGGCTGGAGCCTGGAGAGGCCCCCACGGGAGGGGACCAGAGAGGAAATCTAAGAAACAAGTGGGAGGCAAGAGGCCAGGTGAGCAGGCAGCTGCCTCCACGGGCGGCAAAGAGGACCCGCCAGCATCCTCCCTCCACCTCAAATGTGCCTGTGGAGCCTTCATTGTGACAGACACGCTTACGAGATGCCCCAGGGACCCCAAGCTTACCAGCCCCTTCTCCTCCCTCTCCAGGCAGGCCTCAGCTCCCCAGGGCTGCGGACCAGATGTGTGGGGCAGATGCCTGCCCTCTGGGCCTTACTATTTAGAAGAAAAAAAAAAAAAAAAAAAAAGAATAGGCCAAGCTCATGCCTGTAATCCCAGCACTTTGGGAGGCTGAGGTGGGTCACCTGAGGTCAGGCGTTCAAGAGCAGCCTGGCCAATGTGGTGAAACCCCGTCTCTACTAAAAATGGGAAAATTAGCCAGGAGTGGTAGTACACACCCCTTGGAAGTAAATGCCACATCTTAACGTCCTAACACCTCATCTGAAAAATCTCAGCTACTTGGGAGACTGAGGCAGGAGAATCGCTTGAAACCGGGAGGCGGAGGCTGCAGTAAGCGGAGATCTCACCACTGCATTCCAGCCTGGGTGACAGAGCGAGACTCCGTCTGAAAAAGAAAAGAAGAATAAAAAAGAGTTTCAAGTGCTGTCATTTGCTTTGCTAAGAAGGAGAAAGAAGCAGGGAGGAAGTGAAGGCAGCTGGAGACGGGAGGCCGCCTGCGGGGACGGGCGAGGGCCGGGTGCTTGGAGCCCTACTGCCCGACGGTCCTGCTGCCCCTAGTCCTGACACCCAGCGAAGCCCTCAGCCCAGACCCACGTCCACACTGCCCAGCACCATCCCGCACACCCAGGGGTCCCTGCGTCTCAGCAGAGCGGGAACGCTCAGCCGTCGAGGGGCTGCCAATCAGCGATGCCCCCCTGCCAGCGTGGCCGTGGCCACCCGGTCCCCCTTCTTATTTTCATTGAAAATGAAAGACGATCGAAGAGGCAAGCTTGGGCTTCAGCGGGCGCCTGTGGTGCAAATTCTCCGGCCCCCATGTGATCTCATCAGCAATGCAGCCCGAATCCTGCATCCCAGCAACCGAGACAGATTCCCTCGTGGAAAAGCTGCTGCCGAGAGACCACACTTCCACCTGGGGTGCCCTGGCTGTGGGGGCCCTGGCTGTGGGGGCCCAGAGACATGGTGGCGGCTTAGGGTCCGGCCAGTCATGTGGGTCCTTTGCCCAGGTTACACTCTGCAGCCTGTAACACCAAGGTCCTGGCCAAAGCTGCCCATCAGTTTCCACCCCTGGACCCCTTTCCCCCTTCCAGATGCTGCCCCTCACAGCTTGACGGACGGGGAATTCTGTAAACGCCTGGGCTTCCAGTTAATACCATCCACCTCCAGGTCATTACCAGCTCTTGGGGGAATCCCAGGTGTTTCATTGCCTGGGAGCAACCCCGGGGCCGCGCATGGGGAACACACATGGCAGAGGCGGGCTGCTTTCCCTGAAGCCTCGGATGCTCAACGCCCGGGCACCGCATGCCAGTGGATGCCGCCACAGGAGGGGAGGATCCCCGCGCTTCTGTGAGTCCCATCAGACAGCGCCCGCCCTGAGACCCAGGAGCAATGCCAAAGGTCGACGAAGGCTCTGATGGAGCAGCTGAGGACCACGCTGTCGGGCCACGTGCAGGAGGGCCCCGCTCGGGTCTCTGGCAGGAGCCGGGGAGGGCCGGTCCCCACCCCCTCCCCCGGACGGGGCTCCCCGTGTTCAGCCAGGCTGCCGGTTGTTAGCACAGCCAGATGTTTTCACTCGATTTTGTAAATCTGCTCCAGGTCTAAGACATCGCTGTTTGTTCTAGAAATCAAAAGGTCTTGGCTGGCTGTGAAAGACGTTTGACTGACAGCTGCCCCCAGCCCTGCCCCAACCTCTTCTTGGAGGACCAGACCCCGGAAATGCCCCTGGACGGGGGGAGCTCCGTTTCTCACGAGCTTGGTTTTCAAACGCGCTCCCAGCTCCTGCAGGGTGGATGGGTGTGCTCGGCACGGCCGCAGAGCGTGACCCCGTGGCTGACAAGTGCACATTTTCGGAAATCCCATGCGCCGTGAGTGTCTCGCCCCAGTCGGGCCCGAGGGCCACTGGCTCCTGAGGACCAGGAAAGGTAAAGTCCCCTTCTGTGGGTGGCACAGGCTTCTGTGCAGGACGGGTCAGGCAGCGTTTTCTCTGGTGGTCCATCCGACCAACCCAAGGCCACCCCGACCCTGACTCAGACAGTGAGAACGTATCCATGCTTCCAGAAAGTTCTGAATCTGTCCCACCTCCTCCGTCTTTCTATTTCTCTCTGTTTCCCTCTCTGCTTCGAATACCAAGACTAGCAATGCACAACACAAGAAGGCCATTTATTTCCACAAAATTTATCATCTCCTTAACAGGCCGCCGTGGCCACGTATGATTAACGCCTCCATGCCGGGGTCCGTCCTGGGCTTTCTGACGCCCATCCTCGCAGCTGGGGCAGCCCGGGAGGGTCTGGGCAGAGGCCAGGCCAGGCTTTGATATCTCACTGATAACGTATTGTACAATTAGATCAATTTGACAATTTCCATTATGGCTGATAAAATATTTATTGAGCCTTGGAGATGATGTCTGATCTCTGTGCCATTTGTTCTGCTAATGGGGGGAGACCGAGGAGGCTGCAGACAGCGCTCGAGCTGGCTCCCCCGTCCCTCCTCCCCATTAGGTTTGCAAATTGCAGGCACCAGTCATAAATTACCACCCAGCCCAGCGAGATTGATGCCGAGCTGACAGGGCAGGTAGGTGACTTGTGATGACATTGTTTCATAGGAGCATTAATCACGGTCGAAAGAGAAAATACCCTCAAATTGGCCCATAAGTCTAAATATCGGGGATGAGAAGCGGCAGACGGTGGATGGTTTTACCGAGAGCTGGAAATTGGGGAATGAACAACATTTTCTATTATTTAACAAATCATCTTAATAATTTCCAGTGTTTTCCCCCAGAGCTCTGGGAGCCGAGAGAGCAAGGACCCACCTTGCCTGTCCCCTCTTGCCGTGGGTAATGTTGGATAAAACCTGGGGGACCCGGCCTCCGGGGCCGCCGCTGGCTCTGGGTTTCCACGCCGAGGGAGAGGGATTTGCATTGGGAGTAACCCCCGCTCCGGCCGCCCGCTTCTCCAGGGGCACCCTCACCAGCTCCGGCTTTTCTTCCGGAGGATCTACGTGGATGACGGTTTTGCCGAGGAAGGCCCGTCCATCGGACCATGGAACGCAGGGTACGGAAACAGAGGCGGGACCCACATGGGCCGGGAGGCCAGGCAGCCCGTGCGCCCCCGACACGCCTTCCCAGAGCTGCCGGCAGCCCGTGCGCCCCCGACACGCCTTCCCAGAGCTGCCGGGTGGCTACGCTCTGAGAAGTGTTTTCAGTGTTTTCAGCCCTGAGCGGGCTCTGCGGGTAAAATATCGCTGCAAAAGATAAATGGCCCTTAATGAATTGCCCTGAGTTAGAGAGCCAACGTGGTTTTAATGGCAAATGAAAAATAAACACATCAATGAAGAGTGGAAACCGTGGTCCGGCCGGTGTTCTGCAGAGGCAGGCGAGGGGTGGGGGGCCGAGGGCTCGGGCTCCTCACCTGCGCCTTCTCGGAGGCAAACACTTCCGTGGCCCCATCAAGGCCTCGGCGCTCGTCCTGAGTTGGGGCCCCTACGTGAGACCCCGGTAGCCACATCTCGGCTCAGAAGACTACAGTGCAGAGTAATTAAATCAAATTGATGCTGTCCCTGTGTTGAGGCCACCCTTGATTTAAGGCCAGAAAGGGAAGTAATTACGTTTAATAAAAACCAGGTTCCTAAACAAAGATTCGAGGCAGTGGCCATCCGGGGGCCACATCCGCCGCGGAGCGGGGACCACGCCGGGTGCTGCCGATGGCGGGCTAAAAGCGAAAGAAACAATCGCCTCCCAAAGCCGCGTTTCTAACATGCTGCTTTCAAATGTCAGTCTCGCGCGTGACCGTGTCAAAATCCGGAGCCTGCAGTCCCTTCTTGGAGGGAGATGCTTCGCGGGGGCCGGCCATGGGAACTCCACGCAGGCATAATTAAGAGGGGTCTGTCAGTGCTCAAGGTCACGGTGCACGGCCCCCAGCCGGAGGCCTCCGAGGGGACAGCTGTGAGCCGGGGAGGAGGGAAAGACATGGCTGGGCGTCTTAGGGAGGAGGGACAGAGGTGGCTGGGCATCTTAGGACCATCTTCCACCTAGCGCCCCCACACACCAACCACTCTCAGCCTGAAGCCCCTCCGCTTTGACGGGAGCAGCCCCCTTTCCTGCTAACAAGATGAGGGCCACGTGCACAGGCTTCTGAGGTGGCGCTCTCCAGCCAGCAGCTCTGACAAAGTTCTCCGCACAGAGATGAGAAAAACAATCACAGCCCAGGCCTGGAGAACAGGGACCGGCATCCCACAGATGGGGTGACAATGCCGGGCATTATTCACCATGGCATTCGTGGCAACAGAGGGCAGGCCGTGCCTGAGCACCCCCGGATGTGGCACGGCTGGGCTGAGGTCTTGGGACCCCGCCCCTGCCAGCAGCTCTGTCCCACCTGCTTTCCCGAAGGTGCCCAGCACCCACAAAAGCAAGTCACCTGCTATCAACCTGCGGCCTGCCTGGGGCCAAGGGGCACGTGAGTCGTTATTAGGCCTCAGTCTCTGCACTCCAATGTTCCCAAGGGCGGCGCCGGCCCTGCTCCTCCCACGGGTCGCATCCACACGCCTGGGCTCCTGGAGGGAAAGGCAGGTGTGGTGCCAGCGAGATAGTGGAAGGATCCCCGCGTGCCGTGTTCTGACACTCAGCTCCACACGGGGGAGGCCCGGCGGCGCCAAGTGGGGCAAAAACGTGGGTCGCCCTCACCACGATGCAGCTACCATCGCCTCTGAAACGAGAACTGCAAATATGTCTGCGTTGACATTTGTCAACAAGGGTAAGTCACAGAAACGAACTGGATCCCTGCAGACGAGGCCCCCACTGAAGCCTCTCCCAAGAACACAAGTCCCATTATCTCATCCCAAAGGTCAAAGTTGAACGCCCACAGCACACAGGAAGACTGGCCGAGGGGGAGGTGAGAGGCCCCGCCTCCCTCTTACTGAAGGATCCAGAAAACAGCAACACACTCGATTTCATGGCAAGATGGCAGCTGCGCCAAGCCCGGGGAAAGCCAGCTCTGTGCCTGCACTCGGGGGGGCCTGACTCCCTCAGAGGCCCCCTCCTCACACAATGACCAACGCGACCCGGGAAAACCTGAGTGTTGGCACCCAGTGGCCTGAGCAGGAAAGCCTTCTGGAACTTTCCAGAACTTTCGGGAAATCCCCCCACCCCGGAACTTTCTGGAACCCCAATCCCAAGGTGCTGGCACCATATTTGGAAAGGAAGGGGTTCTGACAAGATGGCAGGCTCCCTCTGTTGCCATCCAGCCAAATTTTGCCCACCTCTTCCAAACACCTCCAAGTACCGGATGAGGGCAGGTGTGTCGCCGGCAGCCGAAGGTGAAGGTACCAGCCCCGCATGAAGATTAAACTCACAAGCACAGGAAAGGGAAACCTCAGATACTGGACACAGACCCCAGCGCTGGCTCCGGGGCACAGTCATGGTAGCACAGCGACGCAGGGGGCTGGGGACAGCTCAGACACCTCCCAGCTGGGGTTCCCTGGGTCTCGGCTTTGGCATTCCCCCGGTGGGTGCTGCCTTCCGCTCTCTTAGTGGTGGATGCAAAAAAGCCTGCATCGGCCACTGTCGCGCTGGAAGCAGAGCCTTTCCTCTCTACGCAAAGCCACGCCCGCTGGTTGCGCTGGGAGGGTTTCGGCCTCTGCCCGGGAGGACAGGAGCGGACAGAGAGAGACGGCGAGGGAAGCAGGAAGTTCTCCGCGTTTTCTTGTCCCAAGAATCATGAGTTGGGTTTGCCGGCTGGAGCCCTTCACGGCGGGGAGCTTAGGCAGGGCTCCGACTCCCAGCAGGACGCCCCTGCCTGGCCAGCTCTGCGCACAGGCCCTGCAGCCCCTCGCCCAGGGTCGGCCCCTCCAGCTACAGTCCGAGGACCGCCGGCCTCGACCTCATCCGAGGACATTTAGCACAAATGGGTGCTGGGCCCCGGAAACTGGCCGGCGTCAGTGAGGGAGGACAGCGGGGCCTGGCCGGAGAAGTCAGGGACTTCCGGACAAGTGAGGTCCGGGCCACAGAGGCTGCGGCCCCGTCTGGCTTGCGCAGCGCTCCTGTGGAGGAGGATGAGAAAGGCGCCCTGCGAAGAGCGCCTCCCCTGCCACCCCCTCCGCCGTCGGGAATTTCATCAACACGCTCCTAGGAAACCTGACTCCCTCCATGGGACGGCGTTTGCCCGCAGGGAAGGAAGCCTGCCAGGGCTGCTTCCAGGAGCCTCCACCCTCCTCCATCCACACGAGGCCGCCTCCTCCAGGTGGTCCTCCTGGATGGCCCTTTGGGACCTTGCAGCGTCTTCTGACACCCCGCGCCTCCCCCGCAGCAGACCCCAAGTGTCCAGGAAGGGGAGCTGCTGCTGGAATGTTCTGGGCCCCTAGGGAGAAGCAGGCAAAGGACGCCGTGTCCCCCGGCAGCCGCCACTGTCCCCAGCCTCTCTCTCTCACACATGATGAGGCTTTGCAGGAAGGAGGGAGACGCCACATTCCTTGCTCTGAGTGACAAGCTCGCGTCTAAATCTGTACCGTGTGACCTACCTCACATGCCTGCCCCCGGGCCAGTGGCGGCCAGGTCAGCATGGGGAGAAGAGCCCGGCCGTCCGAGCTGCTGCTGCAGGAATGGCCCGGACCTTGGTCCCCTGGAAGCCTGGGCTGAGGGGGGGATGCCGGTGGTGGCCAGGGTCATGCTTCCTGTGAAATGGGATGACTCCTTCCCAGGCCATCTGTCTGGTGATGGGACCCTGGGGGTGAGAACCCCAGGACCCAACCCTCCCCTGTACCAGCCCCTCCCCAGCCCAGAGCCAGGGGTGGCAGGAGAAACGTCACTGTTTATAACTCCAAGTTCCAGCGGGCATCTTGGCCAGTGGGGGCCGTAAACCAGGTCAGCTGCCCGCATCCCGGAGCCCCGGCTGCCCCAGTCACCCAGTGTGGGACAGGAGGAAGCACTGATTAGGGCTGTTGGAAGGAGGGGTTTGTATGGAGTGAGAGGAGCCTGCAGCCATCGGCGGGGAAAGAGTGTGACCGGGAGGGGAGAAGCAGGGATGGGAGGCCAGGACACCTGATAAGCCCACCCCTCCATCCACACCCAGCAGCCAGCGTGGGGGGCAAGAGAAACGTCCTGTCCTTTGTGGCACCAGAAAGCAAGGGAGGCCCCGCCCCCTTAGAGTCCTTGGCACTGACCCAGAACACCTGTAGACCAGGGACTTGGGGGATCATTGTGCCCCCAAAGTAGAAGCTGGCTTCTCCCTGCTCTGTAACTCAGCAAAACACCATGACGCAGGGGCCCTGGCGGGGTTCAGGTGTGGGTCCCGGCCCCAGCCCAGCCACTCTAAGGAGGGGACCGTTGGTCCGTCCATCTCCCAGGACCTCCACTGCCTCGTCTGTAAAACGGATGATACCAGAGCTGCCCCGGACAGGGGGGCTGAGGACTCAGTGCCCGGCGTGCCCAGCCGAGACCCTGGAGAGTCGGGTAGGGCTGGCCAGCAGGTTCACTTGAGCTACGCAGCAGCCCCAGGCCCCAGCCAGTCCGCGGGGCAGCATCGCCTGTCATGAAGGCTCAAAGCCCGTGTGTGGTCCCAAACCAAGGCCGCCAGAGACCCCTTGTCCTCCCAGGCAGCTGCTGGGCGGAGGGAGAAGCCACCTGCCCCAGACCGGCCCGGCCCGGTGTTCTGTGGCTCCCGGAGAAAGAGATCGAGACAGTCTCCTTGCACCTGGGCTCTGCTTTCAACTGCTGGAAAAGCGAAGGGAGACGCCCGGGCCACCAGGAGGCCCCCGCCCCACTCTGCAGCCCCAGGCTCTCTGGGCTGGGGCAACAAGGGGCATGGAACAGGAGCCTGGGGGGAGGGCACAGGGAGACCCGGGCTGCAGAGCCACAGGGCAGGGCCGGCCGGCCTGGGGACGGCGGGAGTCCAGCTCCGCGGACATGAACAATGTGAATACCTGTCTCCTGGGGTAACCCGACCCTATAATTACGCCTCAGCCCCAGCAGGGTGTGCAGGCCCCACAATGCCAGTGCCCGGAAGCTGGCTGGAGAGACCCTTCAATTGTCATTGCCACGCCAGGGGCGGCACGGTGCGACAGGCAGGCTCAGGTTACCCAGGCTCGCAGCTGGCGTGTCACCTGTGGGCCATGGAGGGGGGCGCTCGGTCGGGCAGGGGCACAGAACCAGCGCCCGCCTGCAGGCCCCTGCTGGCCTTGGCAGCGGCCGCCGAGAGCTCCTGGCACGTCGAACTCGCTGAGAAACCCCTTCCCAGGATGCCTGGGGCTCATTGTTTACCTCAGATAAGAAATGTGGCCTCTTGTGTTTTCTTTTCTTGGGAAAATGTCAGGCCCCTGGTCGGTGTCTGCAAGGCAGGAAAAGCTGGGTATGGCGAAGGGTCTCGCACCGCCCGCCCTGGCCCCACCACAGACCCCCCCGAGGCCCCCACCCTGCTCATGGGGCCACCATGGCCCATCCACTCCACGCGAAGGGGCCAATGCGCTGACTCAGGCTCGCTGGTGTGGACCTGGCCAGATTCTGGGAGCTGCCTTGCCGTTTCCTGGGGTGCTCTACAGCCTCCGAAATAAAGAGCAAGCTCCCGAGGAAAGTGTCCTTCCTTCCAGAAGCCCCTGACCCGGGGGCAGCAGCACGAGGACCAGGAGGGCCTCCCGGCCCGGCCTGCGGGTGGCCGGCCGCTCCCCTACCATGCCAGCAGCGCGGCCGGCTAATCCCGGCTAATACCCGGCCGCATCCCCTTGCCCGGCTCTCGGGAGGTGGGTTCCCGGGTGTCCCACGCGGGCGCGGGTGGTCAGGCCCCTCTGCCAGACAAAAGGCCGCCTGTTGGCCGCCTCTGCCTCATGGAGGCTTAAGGACATTTTTGTCATTTTTGACCAGCTAATGTCTTGAAAAAGAAAAATAAGTTGTCTAATCGCTTTAAGTTTAATCTTCCCTTTTTCTGAACGCTCTAGGTGCCGACGTTGACTTTCCTGGACCAATTAGGTCAAGGTCTTTCCAGCCGCCACGGTAACTCCCGAGCTTTTCCCGGTTCTTTTGCCTACTTCCCCTTTCGGGGGAGGTGGGCTCCATGGGCCCTCAGGGTTGGTCTGAGCAGCAGCGCAAGGGCATGGGGTCTGATGCCAGAGGCTGCATGGGAGGGGAAGGGAGGAGCGGGTGGTTAGCATGAGCGTGGCCGCTCGGCCCCGACCTCGGGGGCATCTTCCCGGCGCCCCCGCCCAGCCCATGCCCAAGCCGTGCCTGCTGCCTGGGTGTCCGTCCCTGGGGCTGAGTCTCCACTGCTGTCCACATCCTCTCCTTAAGAACCAAGCTGGGCACCGCGTTCCAGGGAAGCTCTGCCCCCGGCTGGATGCCTCTCCGGCCTCCTCCACACGATCCTCGCTCTGTGCGGAAGCTTCTCCTGCCCACGGACACCAACCCTGGGAGGTGCTGACCTCTGAGGCCGCAGCGTGAGCCCAGGGATGGTCCCGAGCCCAGGTCCCCACTCCCGACGCCACTGGACGTGCTCCCGGTTTTTTTCCCCAGTCCTCTGCAGCCTTGAGGAGGAAAGTGAAACTCTGGCTTTCTTCTCACACGTGTGTGCTCCGGGGCTGCTCTCAGACGGCCCTGTGTTTGTTTTGAACAAGGCGAGGTCCAGCTTCCTGGAGGCCGATCATTTCTCCTGGGGGAAGGGAGGGACTGACTTATGTCAAATAATTGTGCACAAATTCCCCCAACGCGCGGCCCCTGCCGCCACACCCTTGGCTCCCAGCAGGCAGCGCCGGCCACTTCATGGGGCTTTCTCCCTCGAATGTAGGGGAGACGGGGGAGCAGGCTCTGGCCCAGCGTTGCCAGCCCTAGCTGAGCCATTTCAGAGTCTTGACCTCTGCAGAATGGAGTGAACAACTTCCATGTGGCTTTCTGTAGAAATCAGGCACGATTGCGAGCACTGGCATGGCCCCTGCTAAGGTGGATCTTGATAAGGGGAAGGGAAGGTTGCTGGGCATCGCTTCCATCAGGGGCAGCCGCTGGGCAGCAGTTCTGAGCAGACCCCACCCTCCTCTCGCCACCATGCAGCACAGGCTAGAGCCTGGGTGTCATCTCCAGGTGGTTCCAGGGACGTGGTTTCGAGAGGCCAAGCCCCATGGCTCTGCCCTCTGCTGAGAAGAGCCCCTCTGAAAATAGTCTTCCAGGAACCTCCCCCAGGCCCATAGCCTCAAGGTGCCTCCCTTGCCCTGGGAGAGTGTGGCTTGCAGTGGGAAAAGCAGCTTGGGCTTTCCTGTAGGAGCCTCCAGAAGGGACGCGGGCAGAGACCTCCCTGGCCTTCCCACAGCTCCTGCCCTGGATCCTGAGTCTCCAGGGCATCAGGGCGTCTGACCAGCCGCTCTCCACCTCCAGAAGCCGGTGACCACCTCCTGTGGGCTTTGTCCTGGAGGCTGCGGGGCTGGAGTGGACCACTCATGTCCAGCGGTGACCACCACCCAGTCCCAGGCATGGCATCGCGCACCTGCTGCAGGGATGCCGGCTGACCGTTTGGAAACGTGGTGCCGTGTTTCCCGAAGACATGTGCCATCCATGGTGGTTAAATGCAGCACAGAGGCAATTACAGGTCCATCTTCCCTAAGTCTGGCACAGATTCACAGTGTCTGTGTTTGCCCGAGGCTGGGGTTCCGGGTGAGCGGACTGGCTGCATGGCCCTGCCCAGCCACCCTGACGGGGGCTTTTTCTTTGACCCCCACCCCACCCAGCCTGGGGAATTCCTATTCGGACCTGTTCAAAAACTGCTGAATCAAATAAGGGTCACTTCGCTTTGAACATAATCTCTATTTTAAATGAATCATCTGTTCTCTCTCTCGGGAGGCAGAGGTATTGACGTGTCGGGCAGCAGTATGACCAGGGTGGCTCCAGAACATTCTGGACCTTCTGGGGGCTCCAGGTCTGTCAGAGAGACCCCTCGGTGGGGAGGAAGAAAGGCAAGTGGGGTGCGAAGGGGGGACCCACCTGCACCATGGACAGGGGAGGAGCTGTCCACGGTGAGACCACGCCCTGCAGCCCGTCTGCCTGGCCGGCCATGCGTGCCCCTCTGGAAGGTTCTAGAAAGTCCTGGAAGGCTCAGGCCTCCCAAGGGCCCAAGGCACTGCTTCCTTGTCCCATCCACCCTCCACCCAGCAGGCTCCTCTCCTCTGCCCACCGGACACACAATCAGTTGGGCAGGGACCAGGGACCACATCCAGGTCCTGACGCTTCATAAACACCATTCGGATAATAAGACGCTGGAATGGCAAAGTCTCTCCCTCCGCGAGCCATGTAGCCCTTCACCTTGCTTCCAAAGTCGCCTGCAAGGCCCGGAATGCAGACTGCAAACCCCAAACTCCGATAAACAAGCCTCAACCTTTAAAAAGTGCCCCTAATGCCCCATTGAGCCCTGATCGCTCATTTCCCAGCTATATAATTAGCACATAAAGAACTCTCTCCTTCGAATTAAATAGCAGTAATTGGGTTTGTTTTTTGTTTTTTTTTTTTTTAAACTAATTTAAATCCTAAACCCTTTGAAAAAAAATTGTCATTGTTTACATATGAAACGGACTAGCACTTTAAGTATTATGGGGCTAATTTAACAGGCTTATCTAGGACACAGGCCCGGGAGGGATGGGGAGGAAGGCTTGGTGGAGGGGCGGATCCGAGGGGCCGTCACTGCAGGACAGAGCTGGGGCTACAGCCTCCCCCGTCAGGTTTGTGGGGCCAGAGCTGCACCTGCACACGGTGGCCTGCACCGTCACCGGTAGCCTCAAATGCGGGTGCCCCAGCTTCTCCCCATGCAGCACAGGCCGGAGGCGTGGCCAGCCCTGGCTTTTCCAGTGGCATGAGTGGAAATCTGTGCTCGCGGTCGCTAAAACTGTCTCATTATTATTATTTTCTGCAGTGGAGGCACTGGAGAAGTATAAGAGTTTTAATTATTTCCACTTGATTTTTTTTTTCTTTTCTTTTTTTTTTTTTCCACTTTCTGGCTAAAAATTCTTTTGAAGTAAAACCCAGTGAGAAACGGGTTGCAAGCGCTGTGAATGGAGCTGCAGACTGAGTGAAAGCTATTTTGTTAGGAGTCTTGAGAAACGGACAGGCCCTCTCATGCTCCTTCACAGGAAGAATTCAGGGTTAGAAAGCGTCCGGCCCCCGACGCAAACACAGAAACAGAACCGTGGTGCAAAATCAGCCTCTCTCAACTGAAAGAAAATGACTCCACGGTTTTTCTCAAAGGCAAAATAAATACGTAAAACTGGACAATGACGAGAAATGCCTGCGAGAGGAAGCCAGCTTTGCTTTTCTAGGAGTTTAAGTGTTTGACATGAATCACAAGGATGATGAAAAAAAACTTAAAATGACCGAACGCCGTGGCCGCGGCACAGCTCGGAGGAAGCCGAGGGCAGAGCCAGCCACACGCCGTGGCACGGCCGGAATACCAGGGGCTCCTGCGCACCCGGTCCCAGCGTCCCTCCCGCGGGCCGCACCTCAGGATAAACACGGGCGGGGCACGTTCTCCTCCACCCCGCCAACTCAGAAGATGCTGGAACGCACGTAATGTGAACACGGCACAGCTTGCAGAAGGAAACGGAGGCTTTCCAGCAGGGAGTGCGGAACAGGGCCGGCGGGTCTGACGTTGCAAAAGCCCGAACCGTGTGCCGGCAGCAGAAACGACAAGAAACCGCCCCTGACCAAGGAAAAGGGCGCGCGGCTCACGGGGAAAAGGACAGCAGTATTTGAAGGAAGGGAGGTGACGTCCATCTGTAATGGGCTCTTGGAAATTAAGAAACTGAAGGCAAATGTCCCCAAAGAGAAGACGGCAAGTTACAGAGTGCAGAGCTGTGCGTGGGATGCAAACGTCAGCCCTTCTCTGAAATCCCAGCGTGTGAATTAAAATTGCAATGATGTCTCAGCGAGGAAACCCTTAGAGAGAGGGCAGCCCTAGGCTGCTGGGTGGGCCCTGGGGACGGCCTCTGGGGGCAGCTCAGCCTCCACGTGTTTCCAAAGCCGCAGGAAGGGCCCACCCTGGGTGTGTTCGCTCCCTATCCTGGCCTCCCGCAGCGGCTGGCGTTGTGTTTGGTTTGGATTTGTAGTTTGCAAAGGACACTCTGGGATGTGGGGCACAGCGGTGGCTTTGGACCATAGCTTGGGGGCTACCAGCTTCTCCCCAGAACCCCAAGATCCACACTGCCTGCCCTGGGCTCCCGGGAAACCCTCTGGCACTCGGCCTCCAGGACTGGCTGGGCCTGTGCAGGTGAGGGCCAGAGGCTCTGCTGGCTTCTCACTGAGACCCACAGCCTCCTCACTCAGCTATCCCCGAGCCCCTGACCCTGGGCACTGAGCAAGCAGCCCAGGAC